GCCCTGTTCCCTAGCCACCTAAAGACATTAGATGGTGATACCAGCCCTGTCCCCAAGCCACCTAAAGACATTAGATGGTGATACCAGCCCTGTTCCCTAGCCACCTAAAGACATTAGATGGTGATACCAGCCCTGTCCCCAAGCCACCTAAAGACATTAGATGGTGATATCTGCCTTGTCCCCAAGCCACCTAAAGACATTAGATGATGATACCAGCCTTGTCCCCTAGCCACCTAAAGACATTAGATGGTGATATCTGCCTTGTCCCCTAGCCACCTAGTCACTCTTAAACCTCTGAGAAGTGACACCTGGACCGATGTCCTGCACTTCTCTTTGTCAGAGCCGGCAAAATGCTCCAGCTGTCATTCCACCGGCCTGTCCAGACAGGTCTCGTTTCCTGAGGCAGCTTCTGCGATGACAGAGCCAAGCACGGACAGGAGTCCCCAGCTCGGACTGAGCTAGTCCCGGGGAGCTCGACATGATAAATGCAGCCCTACAGATTGTCGGTTGTGTCCTGTGTCTTGACTTGGGTGATTTAAGTTAATCAGCCAACTGTAGCTGATAGAAGCTCTTTTTGTAGCTATCAGCTTTGCTACATCAATGCCTTATCTGGTGGCTGCGTTACAAATGCCCTGAAAACAGGAAAAAATGCTTTTGTAAGCAAACAAGAGCCTCGCCCCTTTAAAATGAAATGGATTTTGGGCAGCTGGACCCATGATCTTTTCATTTTCACTTGAAGGGGCAGGAAATGAGGCAGAGTGGAGCAGGGGGGGTGGGTGGGGTGGGGGTAAAGGCGACTGGACAAAACTCCAAAAGAGGAGGATGGTGACATGAGACGCCCTGTGCCGGGGTACGGCAGACACTGACTGAGTGTGATGGCATGGTGCCACTCAGGTTGAGGTGATTGTGATTAGCTCAGGGGACACCTAGAGCTCAGCATCTGCTACAAACACAGGCTAGGGGGCGCCACTTCTGCCACGGGGACAGTTTCTCAGGACTGATACAGGAGCCACTGGACCAGAGGTGCGTTTACAGCCAAAACGTGCATTTAAGATGATGTGTGAAGGGTGGGCCTTTGTGTTTGTGAGTGTGTGTTTGTGTATTTTTAGACAAAGTGATGTGTTGATGGTAAATGTTCTTGGTTGTCAGATGGCGTGTGTGGGTGTATAAGGATCACGGCTGGCAGGTTTGATCAAGAAGCACCAAAAGAGTATTCACGGAGATATTAATTACGAGCGTCTCTCAGAGGTATTGGAGGTTACAAAAGTTTTCAAGAATTTCAAAACTAATTGTGTAGCATTTTGCATCGGTTATTGGGACCGATTCACTCACCAGCTTTCGTTTCGTTTGGTTAGCTGCTGATCCATGTATTCATCCAGTTCCGCCATTATTATTTTTTCGGAAATATCTAAGAATCCATGGCAATGCTGCAGTCCAATTCTATCCAGTCCACTCCCATTGTTACACCATTATCTGTCTTACTCATAAGCTGTTATATGAAAAATTTTCCTATTATGCTCCCATCTGTATGTATATTCTGGACCTTTCCATATGATCCGAATCTTTGTTGTTGCAAGAATGTCTTTCCAGAAGGACTTACAGAATCATGGCCAATGTGAAAGTTCTGGGTGCAGAAACCTGTAGACCAGGCTGCTGGACTGCTGTCTGCCAACAGCCCTGTGTCTCTTTCTGACCCCAGCCAGGGGCCAGAAAATGAAAACCTAGACAAAATTGGGTCCAGATGACTAGGAGAAGCAACCCTTAGGAATATCACTGGGCAGCAGATGTGGATCTGAAGAAATGAATTTCCCGTTCTTGACTCTTTCCTTCCTCTACAGGTTGAAACTCTCACTTTTCCCGGGTTCAGCCACAGAAACCATCATGTCATTAAAATGAGGCCCAGGCGTTGATCCGTAACAGCCTGGGGCACCCGACTGCATCTCAAAGTCATATCATGTGAATCAGTCTGACCGCACTCCCCATAAGTCCTTTGTGATGCTACTTTTCCTTGGCGAATGGTTTGTCTGCTAATCTGTATGCCTGCTCTTTCAGCAGTTTCGGTTATGTAGGTGATGCCAATAATGAGCATACACCTTCCAGAGGTAGGTGACACATCTCTTCTGCCTTCTGCCCTCCTAGGCAGCATTGAGAAGATACCCAAGGCAAACTGTGAACCAGTGTCCCTTGACCATCTCAGGGGATAAGAGCAAAGCTGTCCCTGGACAGTGTGAGAGTGCGGCTCAATATTTAAAGGCAGTTAAGCTCTAAAGTGGACTTAACAATAGAGCAACAGGTTCATCATTTAGCGTACAGGACAGGTGCTAATTCAGCAGACCATGTGTGTTTCTGCTCCCAACAGGCTTGTATGCAGAGATGCTGGTTCTTCTGCTTGCGGTTTCTGCTCTGCTGACGGCCCACACGGGCCGTGCCCAGGACCTGCCATATGAGGACTACCTGGAGCAGATGAGGGTCTGCCCCAAAGAGTGCCACTGCCCGCCCAGCATCCCCAGCGCCATGTACTGTGACGGCAAAGACCTGAAGAGCATCCCCACAATCCCACCACACACCCGCTACCTGTACCTGCAGAACAACCAGATCGAGACCATCTTGAAGGAAGCCTTCAGCAACGCCACCCAGCTGCGGTGGCTCAACCTTAACCACAACAAGATCACCAGTGAGGGTTTAAAGGAAGGGGCACTGGAGGGTCTACCAGCCCTCCTGTACCTCTACATGGAGGACAACCTGATGACCAGGGTTCCCACTCCACTGCCCCCCAACTTAGAGCAGCTCCGCCTTTCCCGAAACCGCATCTCTAAGATCCCCCCAGGTGTGTTTGCCAAACTGAGCCGCCTGGCGCTGCTGGATCTCCATGCCAACCAGCTGCAGGATGACGCTGTGATGGAGGCCAACCTGAAGGGGCTCACCAGCCTGGTCCAGATCAACCTGGCTAAGAACAGCTTGAGGAACATGCCGCCCCGCCTGCCCGCCACAACCATCCAGATTTTCCTGGACAGCAACAGCATAGAGAAGATCCCCGCCGGCTACTTTAACGGCCTACCCAAGATCGCCTTTCTCCGGCTGAACCGCAACAAGCTTGCTAACGGCGGGCTACCCAAGGACATCTTCAAAATGTCCAGCATCCTTGACCTGCAGCTGTCACACAATCAGCTGACTGAGGTGCCCCAAATCCCAGCAAGCTTGGAGCAGCTGCATCTCAGCCACAACCTGATCAAAAGTGAGTGCTGATTGGTTGGGGACAGCCTAATTAAAATTCAAATTGGACACAATGAATCATGGGACTGGTCTTGTTTGGCGAGGATGCAACTGATGTATCCTTGATATTTGGGGCAGGGCAAGAATGACATGGGGGGATATTTACTATCCTGTACTTCTAATCCCATACTTCTGTTCTTGAGTATTAGAACTGGTCTTCGGCAATGGAAGATGACGCAAAACGGGTATATGAGAACTCAAGTATGGCCAAGCACGCATGTTGTGAAACACCATATGACCCTGCGGACATCTAGCCTTCCATTTCCATAAGCACTTGTCCAATACACCTCAGGGAGATCTTGAAGTTCATCCTAGGAATCGGATGACACAAGGCAGGGCACATCCTGGACAGGATGTCAGTTCGTCACAGGCCATACACAATCTTATCTGTCTGTGTGTTTTTGCATGGAGTACTCAAAGGAAACCTGCACAAATACTGGGAGAACATGACATTTAAGCTAAGGAATACAGTTGCTTAAGGGTGGCACATTTAATAGCACTATTACCTCACAGCTCTGGGGTTTGGGGTTCATAGCCCACCTATGATGGATAGAAAATGACACCTTAGCAGTGTTTTCTCACTGATGTATATTAACCTTGGTTTTAAGTGCTCCATGTTTGACCATCCCTCTTGCTAAGGTGCTGTTAGCGAGCTAAATGCTTTTCCATGCCTTAGGTGTGAATGGGACCAGCATCTGCCCTGGTCCCACCGATGCCCCAGACAGCTACACTGAGGACCAGATCCCGCGGCTGCGATACCTCCGCCTTGACGGCAACGACGTGCAGCCGCCCATCCCCCTGGACCTCCTGATCTGCTTCCGTCTCCTCACAGCTGTGATTATATAAGGGCCACGTCGGGCTGGACAGGAAAATGGCAGACCCCACAGGTCAAAGGTCATCCGCTTTCCCTGACTTCTGTTTACACCCTGTAGATAGGACTGGGATCCTCCATACTGACCTTCATCAGTGGTGATGATGCGCGGCCATGCTGTCCAGGTGCCTTTGGCCAAGCCTGCAGCGTTCTTCTTCCTGTGCTCTTTGCATTACTGCGCTCCAGAGGTGGAAAGTTCAGGTCCAGAAAGTAGAAATCCAGACCAAGATTTTGTTTCAACCAACCAGCTGAGTACTCTGTGACTGTGACTCTTTATACTTAACTGGTTGGTTGAAACAAAACCTTAGTCTGGATTTGTACTTTCTGAACCTGAATTTTCCACTTCTGCTGCACTCTTTCCCTTACTGCGCTCTTTCCTTTACTGTGTCTTCACTTCTCCCCTTTTCCTCCTGAGTTCTGTGTCCCAGGTCACTTTTTCATATATTTAATCCCACACAAAACCTTCCATTGTCACATGTGTGTGTGTGTGTGTGTGGGGGGGGGGGGTGCTATAGGTGAGGACAGTTTTAAACTAGGAAAGTAATATTTCGAGTGATTTTCATATACATGCATGGAGGACTGTGCAAATCTCACAGGGTTAGAGAAGACAATTTGCTTTTTCATCGTTCTTTTTTCATTATTCGGCTTTACAGCTGTCATGATTTACAGCAACATTTTTTTCTGAGATTTTCTGCTAAGAAAAAAAAAGGACCAAGGGATAGCTGGATAACTGAAAAGGGTGACGGAATAACTAAACACGACTCGCTGCTGAAGCTGTATTTGATGTTTCAGTAGCAAGCTGGGCCTTGGACACGGTTCTGGAAAGTGCTGCTGTTATTTGATGTTATTCCGCGTGTATGTAAAGGGAATCTCCACAGAATTGGGGCTCATAGCGATGCCCCAGGGCTGTGGTTATACACCAACGTGACAGTGCAACGATGCTAATCAAAGTCACTTAAGCAGACTGAGCTAAAATGCATCCAGCACAAAGATTCCTCATGTCTTTTGGTCATCTGGTTTTACTTCACGTGTTTCACTCTTTTATCTTTTGTGCGTAACGACTCACATTTGGTTACATTTGTGGGGGAAAAAAATAACACACTTCACAGCCAAATGTCTGCGGGTTATAAATAAATATTCTAAATGAATACAGACAGGTTACAAAACTGTTTATGTAAATGTCTGGCATGTACTTGTTGCCTTGTGAATATATAATTATCTGTTTAGGGTGACTTTACATATGGGGATGGCTATTTGATAAATACTGCAGTCTTGTTACTGTAATTCAGTCTCTCAAACAAATGAATAAAAACCACATGTGAACTGTGTGATCTGTTGTTTTGTTCTCCAATCCATCTTAAGTTATGAACACAGATTTTTTGCATTACAACTTGTTCATATATCACTGCTGACACCGTAAAACATCACACTGCATTACTTTTATATTTTTGACTCAATTTATCTTGTGTCTCTAAAATTGTTTTTCTCTTATGCTGCCCCACAAAGTATCCTGTTCACCTTATTTAATGTGTATTCAAGCCTCCCATTCACATTTCAATTCCAGACTCATTAACAGGTTTGCCAGCTTCAGTCAGCTGGTTGGAGTGAGATTTTCAGTTTAAGACAAGGCTGCACAAAAATGCACATACATTTACCTGTATGTAAGAGTTTCATTACCTTGTAAATAGTCTGTAGGGGTTGCGAACTGCCACAATGTTTTAGATGTAGGGTTATAATGAAATAATACAGATTTGCCATATGATTTCTTGCGTGAGCATCTGAAAGCGTGATTGTCACGCCAGATGTGTTTGGCAGCCCTGCATTAAGCTGCTCGGTTGGGCTTTGCTTTTTCAACTTTTAATCGGTTTGAGATTACCCTCAGCTTATGTGCTAATGAGGACCTGACATCCAGTGACCCACTTCACAAACCCACCTCTAGATGGGGTGCAGACAGCACAGGCAGAGCACAGTCAGAGCGTAGAGCACAGACAGTACAGACAGAGCACAGACTCCACAGACAGAGCAGAGACAGAGCATAGAGCACAGACAGCACAGACAAAGTATAGAGCACAGACTTCACAGACAGAGGGCGGTTAGCAAAGACAAAGCCCAGACAGCACAAACAGAGCATAGACAGCATGGACAGAGCACAGACTGCACAGTCAGAGCATCGACAGAGCACAGGCCGCACAGACAGAGCACAGACAAAGCATCAACAGAGCACAGACTTCATAGACAGAGGGCTGTTAGCAAAGACAAAGCCCAGACAGCACAAAAAGTGCATAGACAGCATGGACAGAGCACAGACAGCACAGACAGAGCACAGACAAAGCATCAACAGGGCACAGACTGCACAGTCAGAGCATCGACAGGGCACAGACTGCACAGTCAGAGCATCAACAGAGTCAGAGCATCGACAGAGCACAGACAGCACAGACAGAGCACAGACAGCACAGACAGAGCATTGACAGAGCACAGACAGCACAGACAGAGCATTGACAGAGCACAGACAGCACAGACAGAGCATTGACAGAGCACAGACAGCACAGACAGAGCATTGACAGAGCACAGACAGAACCAATGCCGCTGTCAGCATCACCACCTTACAGAACAGCTGCTGCTTGTCTGCCACTGCAGGTTTAAGCAGGACTGTGGGGCTCCGATCCTGTTGGCTGGTCTAAGGTCCAGCCAGCATCCTGTCTCTAATCCCATCGCTCAGAAAGGCAGATTAGTCACTTCAGCCTAGAAAAAAGATCTTTCTGGCATCTTGGTGCTCAGACACTGCGTTCTGAGTCCTCGGGACAGAAGCTCTGGTGTGTAAAGCATAGAACTGCATTGGTAAGGATGACGGTGGCAGATGTCCCATCGAAGGCATAGGGATATACTGATTTCAGGGTGGCCGATGAGGGACAACCGGGGGAGGGGGGTGTAGGCTAGGCCTGGGCGGTATTACAGTTATACCATATAGTGCAGTATTTATGGTTTTTTGCATATACTATGGTTTTTTTTGTTCAAAAGTACCCCATCCTCCCCCAAGGCAAATTTCCATCAGGAAATACCGGAATAGCATGGGGGGGTGGGGGGGCACATTGGTAGTAAAATTCATTGACTGGCATGACAGCGTGGCTGAAAATTTGCTGGATTTTTCTTTCTGGCTGATTTTACCGCCACTGAATAGCGGGAGGACAGATTTCCGGAACATTCCGCATCATTCACGGGTGTCAGGGAGCTGCTGTCAATTTGCAGGACTGGAACTTCCTGGGAGAGGTGGGATGATAATGTGCAGGATACCAGAACATTTATCTGTCATTTACACATGTTGTACTTGTGATTACAGACACTCCCCTACTTACGAACTTTCAACTTACGAACTTTCAGACATACGAACGAAGAGGACTGTAAGTCCAAATTGTGTTCATTGGGCTCCTGTTTCCTGTCTGTGAGTTCGTTGAACTTGCGTATACCCTTAAAATGATGCTGAATAATAAACATTTCAAGTTACGAACGGCCATTCGGAACGTATCTCATTCGTAAGTAGAGGAGCGTCTGTACTTATTTTTGAATGGTGCAGATACACTGCCACATACAATATATGACAACAGACAGGACAACACACAGGAGGACAGACAGTCTTCGCTGCTCACACTCAATAGGGTGCCAGGCGCTAACAGTGATTACCAACGGCAGCCCGACCAGTAATTTAGCCGAACGTTGGGACGACATTTCCCTTTTGTACTCCAAATGAGGTGATATTACACCAGAGGTCTGGAGAGCATGATATTTTCACGTGGATTCCCTGAGGATACTGTCAGCATTAGTGTACCGTTAGCATTAGCGCAGAAGCACCGCGACTGGTGTGCCCCTGACAGAGGGGTGGCCCCAGGCCAAAACGAGGAGGTCGGTAGCCAGGGCTCATTCCTGCTGTCAGCAGTGATCAGTCCTCAGGTCCTGGGCTGATTCACGAGGTGCCCCCCCCCCTCTTTGAAGTCAGATTAGCATCGCGTGCTGTGTTTCTGACAGACAGCCAAATCACAGGTGTCAGGACGACCAGCTGGCCACACTGTCGGTCAGGCTTGGAGAAATCATCGCTACACTCACAAACTCCCAGCATGCCTGGGGGCAGCAGGTAGCCTGTTAGTCTTGGAATGTCAGAGGTGTTTTTTTCATTCTAGCTGTTTTTTCCTAACTCCTGTTATCTTCGGGATATTGAAAAAATATAAAACTTATGTTGTGTCTGCAATATTGTTGCAAGTTTTAACTCTTTCCATCATAATTGGCTTAACTGGTGTAACTATAGCCACCGTCCTGCTTCCTATCACTGTTAAAACTAAGCCTTCTTTCTAAAAATTTCTAAAAGTACCAGAGAGCTTTGTTCTCAAGTTAAAATTTATAGAAGCCTCTAAGGTCAACTATAATATTAGCCTACAAGGTCAAGTACAATGTCAGAATGTCAACTGGTTCAACCATAATTCATTGCTGGACTGAATACATTTATTATTTTTCTTACTGATTTCACTCGTTTCTTGCCGACAGGTACCAAAGCTGAAGGTGCCTTGAGGGACCACCAGAAGCAGCAGGTACAGTTGTTCTCAGGATAACCTTAGGGGTGACTACGGGGGGCCCCAGACGTCCAGCACGCAAGAGCATTTCAGTCCCAGTGCTCATGGCTGCGCTGACACTGCCTGGGTCTGCTTTCTGGCCCATTGTGGGAGTAATGTTCCCCTTCCCAGATCCCCCCCTCCCTGCCCCAGCAGCCCCGTACAGAGCTGTCATTGTGTGCCACACATGTTGTACTTTCACTTCAGGAAGAGGAAGACAAATATTTCATGCTTAAGCCTGATTACGCCACACTGGGTGGAAAAGACTGGACCCTTTGTTATGATTAAAGAAAGTTTCTCTGCTGGGATGGGCAGCCGCTGCATTTGCATGTTTCTGGTTTTAAGGCTTGGTGAGTCGGGATGAGGAACGGATGGGGTGACAACTCCTCTCTGGTCTGTGTCAGTGCTGTGGCTGTGTATCGAGAAATACACACACGCACGCACACACACACAAACACACACATAGACAAGATACACTGAAGACACAGGATGCATTGAAACCACACAGCATGCACTGAACATGCGCAGGAAGCACTGAATATAAACAGGATGTACTGTACAGAAACATACACAGGATGCACTAAACACAGAGAATGCACTGAACACATACAGGGTGCACTGAACATGATCACACACAGAATGCACTAAACGTAAACACACACAGGAAGCACTGAACACATACAAGATGCACTGCACACACACAGATAGACACACACATGCCCAGGTCAGACATACGCTCATACTCATTGGACCCAAAGATCAAAACACATACAAGAATAAGCCAAAGTGCACAATATACACACATTCACAGGTCAATCAGTGCTCCCAAATAACCTCACCCACAGCTGAATATATAACACACTCTCCAGGGTCTGCCTGAGTGTATCCTGATACACACACACACACACTCTCCAGGGTCAGCCTGAGCGCCTACTGATACACACACACAGGTCTGCCCGGGTATTTATACACACACACACCTCGCCCAGCAAGTCCTCTCCTCTCTGTTGGCCAGACCCCCATCCCACAGCTCTCCAGCTTGGCAGTTGGGAACATTCTGGAAGAGAAGGAGACAGAGGTGAGCGTTTACAGATTCCATACATCCTCTTTAGACTCTTTTGAGGTGCTTTAAATGAGCTCAATTGACTTCCAAATTTCCAAATGCAATTTATTTTCTGATAATTATTAGTTGTATGTGTTGGTGATTGATAGGCTGGCTGATAAGTTGATCATTTCTTATAATCGGTTCCTGATTGGCTTTCATAATTTTAATTGGACTGTTACACTTATTTGAATCTCCATATTTACAAAAGACTTCTACAGTCATATCATCTCCCTCTGATACTATATCAATTCTATTTTTATTTGCAAGTTCTAATGGTTTTCGTCCAGTGGTCTATTTTCTAAAAAACATGAAGATTGTCTTCAAAGTAAGGAACTGTCCTTGGGATTCGGTTGATATTACAAAGAGTACATGGTAGGCTTTAATAACACATGAAATTACCTTATAAGATGATGTTTGATTTTTGTTAATAGGAACTACATGAGTTTGGAGGATTTAAAAGTTTATCAGCATAACATGAAGGATTTGTGAAGGAGATCATCTTGAGTAAAAAGCGAAACCTGTTTGAAAAATTTAAAAGTGAAATGATTTGCCGTCTGATACGGTTATGGGGGCCAAATAAAGCACTGGGTAGAATCTGGACACACACAGATGCTCTTTCATTACACAGCACACAGCATACTTGTGCTCTGGCACTGTGACTGACTGCACTGTGACTGACCGCACAGTTTATGGCCTTATGGAGATGAACATAGCTCCACCAGTAGCAGGCCAGTCTCCGATGGTATACCACTCTTGGCGTCCTGAAAAAATCTGCAAGAGGAGGTCAGATGAAGCGGACCTTTTAGGGACCTTTGTGGCCCGTCAGTGTAGAGGCCTGCAAGGCCTTCAGGGTATGGAGGGTTGCACACACAACATGTAGCACTTGGCACAGAAGCACAGCTCGGAAATCGCCACTGTTTGTCTTCACTTGGGCTCCCAAAACTAATAGCACCAGAAACCTCAGAGGCTTCAGTCAGAGATGTGTGTCTGTGTGTGGGTGCGTCTGCATGTCTACATATATGCACGTGTAGACGTGCCGGGGCAGCCTCCTCACGGAGTCTCGCTCCCTCCTGCCCTCCTACCCACATGCCTCAACAGAACATTAGCCATCTGGGCCGAGGTAGGAACGGACCTTCATAAAGGGCCCTCTGTCAGTCCACAGCGGATAAGATGGACCCCTTCCTCCTTCTCCCCGGCCCTCCGGTTCCTCCACTGCCCCCACACAGTGCTGGCGTTTCTCTTCTCGTGTTTCTCTTTGCTCAGTCGGTGCTGTTACCAGTGGGATGGAGGAGACTGATCTTCTACCTCTGACCATGATACAGGGCTAAGACCATGAATGAAGGAAGGGATTCCGTCTGCATCACTGCTCCTAAATTTTGGTTTAACCGAGCTTTGTTGAGTCATTCCTGGTGGAAGTTTCCATCCACACAGTTCAATGATACCACCAATCGGGGAGGGGTAAATATTTATAGATGCAGTTAAAGGCTGTGGTCCTGCAGGATCCATAACAGAATGCATTTGAGGCTACAGTCTTAGTCTCTATCTTGATAGCACTCTTAACGCTTGATCTTGATAGCACTCTACACATTAATCCTGAGAGCACACTTAGTGTTTATCATGACAGCACTCTTAATTTGTATCCTGATAGCACTCTTAGCATTTTTCCTGATAGCTCTCTTGGTATTTACCCCAATAGCATTCCTAGAGTTTATCCTGATAGTACTCTTAGCATTTATCCTGATAGCATTCTTAGCATTTATAATGATAGCACTCTTAGCATTTAATCTGATAGCACTGCTAGAGTTTATCCTGGTAGCACTCTTAGCATTTATCCTGACAGCACTCTTAGTGTTTAACCTGATAGCACGCTTAGTGTTTATGCTGAAAACACTCTTAGCATTTATCCTGACAGCACTCTTAGTGTTTAACCTGATAGCACGCTTAGTGTTTATGCTGAAAACACTCTTAGCATGTATCCTGACAGCACTCTTAGCATTTAATCTGATAGCACTGCTAGAGTTTCTCCTTTAGCACTCTTAGCATTTATCCTGATAGCACTCTTAGGCTGGATTGCACCAACATGGTTTAACTATTAAACTGGATTAAAAGAAGATTTATCAACTAATCCTCTTGCACTTAGCTTTAAACCTAGTTTAAATTTAGTTTACAACTAATCCGGGTTCAATCTAAACCTTTGGAGAAGGTTGGACCAGCTATTATGCATAGAAATCAGAGGAACTCTGCGGTACCTCCATTTCTCAAGCTTCAAGTAGCTTTGCGTTTTTATGCAACAGGGAGTTTTCAGATGATTGACGGGGATCTTTTTGGAGTTCACAGGACCACAGTCTGCAGACATAAGCACTTTCACACTGCCATAGCTTGTCGATAAACACTGGAGCTAACATGGAAGTTGCGCAAAAATGCAGAAAAAGAGATGTAGTGGAGCAAAAATGAAAGAAATGGAATTATTTTTGTACCCCAATTACATTTAATGGATCAATTAATACATTTTTGCTTGCATTTCCACATTTCCACCATCAGAAAATTTGATCGCTAACCAATATACTTTTATCTAATATTGCCGGTGCAGGCGGTTAAACTTGCCAGCGCTTATAGGCGGGATAACGTTTTTTACACCGTTTTTTATTCTGTGGAAAATGAAAGATCGATCAATAAGAATCATGAACATGGCATGGGTCATATAAGTAAAAAATTACTAAACCAGTGTGTTCCATTTTGATCATAATTGTTCCACCCTATAACAAACAAATAACTAACAAAATGCCATTTTTTTAACCTCCACTATTTTGCCATGGTGGTGTAGTTTCATACGAAATTATACATAAAGTTTATCCTATGAACTTTCTGCATCTCCCATGCTTATTTTGATTACTAACCCAAGTGGTGAGAATGGGGAACTTTTTCGTAATCAAAAGGACTACTGCTCAATTAATGTAAAATTGTGTGTGAAAAGTAAATCAGCATAACTCAATGAAAAAGCTTTTATTTTTTAAAAGTCCATGAGACATTTGCGTTCACTCTATTTAAGGCCATATTTATTTAGCCTAGGATGCATCGTGAAGTTGTTTACGTTTCCCCGGTATCCATCATGGCGTACACTGAACCTGAATTAATCCTATTTAATTCATAGTTTAAACTGGTTTAACTAATCCAGTTTTAAAATAAAGAAGTGCATCTCTGATTAATGCAATGCATCTCTGATTAATTAAAAATCAGTTTAAACCTAGATTTACTAAACCAGGATTAATTTAATCCATGTTGGTGCAACCCAACCTTAGAACTTATCCTGACAGCACTCATCATTTATCCTGATAGCACTCAGCGCTTATCCTGCAGCATTCTTATTATTTATCCTGATACCACTCTTAGTGCTTATCCTGACAGCAGTCTTAGCCTTTATCCTGAACGCACCTTAAGCACTTATCTTGATACCACTTTTAGCATTTATCCTGATAATGCTCTTAGTGTTTATCCTCCAAGGTGAAAGCTTATAGCCACTTCCTTCCTTGCTCAGATAAAGCATTCCTGCTTAATGAACTCTGGCCTTTCACATCATAGGGCAAATAGTGGATGCTATTATGTTGGGACTTGCCCTGATTGGCCATGTCTAGAGGGATTCTTGTCCTGTTGTCTCTTCTGGCATTGCATGCCTTGGATGGGCTTATACATGTCTGCAGTCTGCTTGAATCTCTGGGCCTTTGTCTTCATCTTAGGAATTGTGTGAAAAAGATATTTCAGTTCAACAGTCTGCAGAACGTGACTGAAACATGTTTGGCCAAGATAAGTGCCTACAGAGGCAAAGTCAGAAGCTCAACAGTCAAGGATAAGTTCCTGCATTCCTACTGCTATCCCAGCAGATAAACTCTGACCCTTTTGCCATGGGGGAGACTTGAAATTAAAACAAAAAATGAGATCCCCTCAAGGAGTTCAGGTGGATCACAGGCCAGCTCACAACACAGGCACCGCAGGGCAGTAAAGCATCCCTCCTGCGTTAGCAAAACCTTGAAAAGCTACATGAGCTTGTCATCAGCATCAGCTTAAGTGTTGTTAGAGAAAGCAGGTAACTCATAAGTTAAACAGAAATGAACATGTCACTGGTTCTCATAAGGAAGTGGCGAATGTAGAGTAAGTGCCACCGCATTTCCTGAAATGTAATTTTATCACATTTAATTGCACAGGTACTGATAATTGCTTTATATGGAATAGCCAATCCCTGTGACATTCAGCTCAGAGACCAGTAGGATAGCCAGTTCTTATCATCTTCAAATCTGAGACAAAGGAAACGTTTAATGGAATGTGTAGTGACCCTGAAGCCTTTAACTACTTAAATCACATGTTGGCAAAGGAACTGCACCTTATATCTACAGGGTGCTCATGTGAAAAGCTCATTTAACAGAGAGCATCTTGGAGAATAATGTTAAATGTTTAGGTTTATGAATCAGTCCGTGCATTTTACATTCAGTTAAGTACTTCTGCACTCCAACCCAAAGAAATGCGAAATAATGCTAAAAAAGGGTCTGTTCTAGTGATATTAAAGCGCTACTCTGTCAGACCCATGACAGATGTGTGTGCCTCTCGCAGGAAGTGCTGGACGATGAAGACTTTGGAGTACATCGTGTGTGGGTTCTTCATCCTGAAGACACTTGCGGCCTTTCCTTCCATGCAGTCCAGGCTGTTGGATCTTGACGTCTATGATAACTACGGTACAGACCCAAACCTACTGAATGAAGACTTATACGATTATGGCATTGACGTTATCACTGGCGAACCTGAGGTATGAGACCTGTGCTTATTTGCTTGTTTACATGATATGCCACGAACTCTGTGAACCATCATGTTTCTCCTGGTCCACTTTTCCTCTAGAGCAACAATTTTCAATATAAAGCAGCCACTCAGTATTACCACAGTGTTTGCACGGCTCATGCACACGATTACTTTAAAAATTAAATGATATGCACATGCCTATGTGTCACACTGCTCACGAGTGATGTCAGCTTCCAGAAACCATTGGCACTTTGACACTATTTTTGTTTTCGTGTGAACAGTGAATCACATTGTTTGCTTGAAGTTAAACAAACTTTAGTTTAGCGATTTCTAGCTTTTGTTGAAAAAGACGTGTATAACCAAATATAGTGTCAATTGTTTGTAGATTGTAAAATGACAGTTAACTGTAAGGTTACCATATGTAGGGGTTGCCCTGGATGCAAATTTTCATTTTACAGGGTGGATAGGGAAAACTCATTCATATTCATAAGACGTGCTACCTGATTGGTCGGTGAATGTGCTCTCCGGACACATCCTCTTTTTTGTTGCACCAAATACAGCAACCCTAACTACGTGCATATGTGGAAAAATCAGGCCTGGTCTCCCAGCCTTTGTTTGACCTCAGACAAGTCCTTGTGAACCTCTATGCTGTTTGTATTCAAATCAATATTAAACCATATGGATTTACAAGCTGCTGATGTAACTTAAAGGAGGCAATCATTGTGCACAAACGTGTAAGATACACACAATATGTATGTGTGTGAGTCGGTGATTAACCATAAGAATGCGTGCTCCAGAATAGCTGGAATGGGAGTAAGTGAGCAGGCTCCCCATGCGGTGGGAAGCTAAACCCGTTCTGTGGCTCCTTCCCCTCGGCAAGCGAAACTTTTGAAGCAAACAAGATTCACTGTTGGGGAGCAAGGAGCCAGGAGAAGATGACACAATGGAGCTACCAGTGCCCTTCATCCCAGAGCAGACTGGAAAGTACAGGCCAGACTGGGCTCAGTAACGATAGTTTTCATAACACAGATGACTCCGGCTTCTTCTCCTGTTTGCGTGGGCTGGTCACTTGCGCTCTTGGAATATGCACCCAAAAGAGTGAAAAAATCTGATTTCAGTGCAGCTGGGACAGGACTTGTCCAGAGACAGAGATAATAGCCTGTCTTAGTTAAGTCCAGCTGAGAAGAAGCTGCAGCAGCTCACCTCCGTCACTAAGGCAGATGAATTCATTCTTTTCCCTTTAAGTTTTGAAATGGAATAGCAACCTCTGGCATTGTTCACTGCAGATATAGAAGATATACTCCTCATGTGCAGAAGCTGTTGGAATTTCCCATCTCCAGGACTTACAGTTGACAGACCCATGGGATAGTTGGTGCTTATCATGTTCAGATATGAGACAAAATGGACTAGCTGATCCCTATTGCGTAGATTTCAGAGCCAGAAGGAATAACCTCTTGCTGCTTTAAGCACAGAGGGCAGTGGACGATGAGGTCAGTAGCTGAGGAATGCTGAGGCTCACTCGCTCCAGTTTTCTGGCATTTTCGAGTGCTCATTGGGACCTTACCTCGCTCTCTCTTCTCTCTGTGACTGAGGGAATGCAAAGCCAGTGGAGATTTCCTCCTGCAGCGAGGTGCTTTTCCGTCTCAAGTTTCCGTCTGTAGTTTGTTTCCATTCCAAATTCAGGAGAATTCAGACCATCGATGGCAAGATCTGAAGGATGGGAGAACGATCCCCAGTCTCATGCACACACCATGTCTGTAATTTTCAGCAAAAATGCCGAAATATCACTGCTGAAATGATACTGGCCAAAAGCAAAACCCGCAGAGGCTAAATGTTTAGCCATCCTTTGCCTCTTGAGGTAAACCATGATGATGATAGCAGATTCAGCCTGAACCGAAGCGGGAGATGGATGGAGTTAGCGAAACACTGTGAAGAACTCGAGGACGGACTGACACAAGTCCAAATGTGTGGGTCATTCCAACACTTTGCATAGAATAAGTTCATGTATCCTGGTCATTGGTGTGTTTAACTGGGGATGTATATTTCAAGTTTTTTGTTTGTTTGTTTTGGGGTCTCCTGAGATGGCGGGCTTTTTTCTCTCCGGGGCAGGGTTCTATTTATCATGAAAGACCTACCTAGTTTTGGACGCCAGTCAGTATCCCAAATATGTCCATCACTGACCTTTACTTGTATCATGTATGCAGTCACCTACAGAGCTTTTTTTACACTTTTAAACAGAGAAGTTGAAGCTGCCTCCTAGATTGCTGTCCTTGTTCATGCTGGAAATGCATCGGCACTGATACTTGGGCAGCCGGAGTTTAGCCTGGAGCATCGGTGGAGCGTAGGTGATCGCGCTGGCAGGCTGAGTAATGTGAAACACAAAGTGCACATCTACCATGAGTGTCTTGGTCCCACAAGGACCATCCCTGGAAGAGAGACTGCAGCCTAGCAGCCGTCGCTCAAGCCAAGCACATTCTTTGAGCAGCCCCGTGTGGTTGGTGGTGGTAGTACAGGAGCAAATTATTCTGGAAGTGAGTTCTCGAGGTAGATCTTCAGGCTGAGACCTGGGTTTTCAGAGAGGAGCGGTTAGTGAGATTTGTAATCATTTATGAAAGTATTGCAACGAGTCTCTGCTTATTGAGAATGCCCATTTTCAAGATTAACTGTACATTGATACTGAGCAGATCAAGGATTGGAGATGTACCGCTGGACCCATCGCATACTCCCAAGCACTGAGGAGCCGGCCACCCTGATCACATCAAACATGTCACTGTGTGGCCCTCTTGCCTGCAGGTGGAGATTGGCACGCTGCCCCCCCTGGGGCTGAGTCGCGAGGCATCTTTCGACGAAGGGGAGGAGGAAGACGAGCTGCCACTGAGGCCTTTCCCCACCACCCACAGCTCCGGGGGGTCTGGAGCTCCGGCTGGCCCAGAAATAAGTGGAGGTCAGCATCAGTCTGGAGTCTATCATGCTACTTTATCTGAGTCGATGCCTACCCGTCTGACCCTATATCCAGGCTGACTGTGTACCAGTCCAATACTTTCCAGCTACAAAATGGATTTTTGAAACCTATTTTTAAAACTACAGGCCTCTGCAATCCTGTCTGAGACACTGTAGCTGAAATGTGATATGTTAATTCAGGCCAAGTGGTCTGCAGTAGCATCTCGGTGGAGTGTTTGTGTGCCTCAGCCCAAGGTCCGTTGTATTGAACCATGCCTGATTATCACCCCTCATGGCACCTTGTCCCCCACAGTCCCGCCCCCCGGGGCTCCTACCTGCCTGCTGTGTGTCTGCCTTGGCAGCTCCGTCTACTGTGACGATGCCAAGCTGGAGGCCATTCCAGAGCTGCCAAAGGATACCACGCACTTCTATGCACGCTATAACAAGATCTCCAGCATCAAGAAGAATGACTTCGCTCACATGAGTATGGCTATTGGCTTGCTGGCTCACCAGCGGCCACTAGGGGGAGCTATAACTGTTCTCAAGGGTTGAACTTGATTATTGTCTTGAGTTCCAGAGATAATCATCTTTTTCCCAATGCTGCTTCCTTATTTTGGTCTATTGCTGATTTACTCGAGGTGTATTAAGAGCAGTTTTGCTTCATGGCAAGAAGAGCGTCCAATGAGAGCTTTAACAAATATAAGCAGTAAGCATTAGCACACAAGAAGAACAAATAAACAAAAACAGCAAAACAAAGCATCAAATGTTGTGCTATGCTGCCCCGCAGACATGCTGAAGAGGATTGATTTGACCGGAAACCAGATCTCACGGATCGACGACGATGCCTTTCTCGGCCTCCCTGCCCTGGAGGAGCTGGTTTTGGAAGAAAATAAGCTGGCACAACTGCCAGCCCTGCCCGCCAGCATGATTGTAATCGATGCCAGTCACAACAAGCTGGGCAGCAGGGGCATTCACAAGGAGGCCTTCAAGGTGAGCACAACCACACCAGATACTGGAAAAATGGGACGTATTTTCAAATCTATACAAATGCAGATGTTGTCAAAACAGTGCAGCTGTCTCTTCTTTAGTTAAAGCCTGTGCATCATTCTTTCATTAGGATATGCACAATCTGCAGAATCTCTACCTCTCCTACAACAATATTGGTTACGTCCCCATGTCACTGCCGGAGAGCCTCCGTTCTCTGCACTTACAGGTACGCCTGTGATTTTCTCATTCCTGATATACAGCGGCCAGCATAGAGGCGTCTCTATCCTATCTGCTGGCAGTGTGTAGCACTACAATAAAATAACTCAATGCTGCCATCTTGTGGTGGTGTACAATTAAATTTGCCCCAGTGCTACCACCTTGTGGCATCACTTGCCAATAAAGGCTTGTGGTTTCAAGGTGGCGAGCAGTGATTTGCTTCAATGGCGTGATCATTCTTAGAACTTTCTTACCAGAAGTGTCTGATGTACCTTTTCTAGATAAATATATTATTTTGGTGAAATGCAGATAACCATACAGAAATACGAGCCGTACGCTGAATCCGCGTGAACAAAGTGATGTGTAGACATACCCTGCTGTAACCTCCCACCTGTATCAGTTAGAGACTTATTTTTCCTTGTCATTATTCCCTAAACAATACAGTACAACAACTATTTATAGCATTTACATTGTATCAGGTATTATAAGTAATCTAGAGGTGATTCAAAGTATATGGGAGGATGTGTGTAGCTTATACACAAACACTATGCCATTTTATATAAGGGTCTTGAGCATCTGTGGATTTTGATATCCGCGGGGGGTCCTGCAACCAATCTTCTGCAAACACTGAGGGATGACTGTATTTACATTTATTCATCAGACAGTTTTATCTAAAGTGGCGTACATTTCAGACAGCAGGGTCAGCCAGTCCCTGGAGTAACTGGGTGTTATGGGTTTAACAGCTTTAAACCAGTAACTTTCCAAACACATGCTATCCTGCTGCGACACCGCCCCGCCCCCACCCTTAATACATTAATGTGATTAATGCAAATATGGCACAGAAGTCTGAAAAAATATATACATAGACTTTGGTTTGTCATTTACTGGTGAACGGTGTGCAAGACCATTTCCACATGATTCTTCTTCCAGAACAATAACATTCAGATGATGCTCGATGACACCTTCTGCAACCTAAAGGATCTCAACTACATCCGAAGGGCCCTGGAGGACATCCGATTGGACGGGAACCCCATAAATCTGAGCAGGACCCCCCAGGCATACGTATGCCTACCCCGCCTGCCAGTGGGTGGACTGGTGTAGATACTTACATGCAGACCAAAAATGGTATGTTGCAAAGCACACAGGCTACACACACACATGATATTGTAATGTTGTTTGTGGAGGATTATACACAAACACACACATAATGTATTCTTGTTGGTTAATTTTCTCCTTACCCAAAACATGCAGATAAACAAACACACCAAAGAATCACTTTTGGTCACTTTTATTTTTCACACATTTTTTGTTTTAATTTCAAATGTCTTCTATCTACAGCAGGCTTTGATTACTAGTGGTACGACAGTATAAGGGTAGGTTTCAGTAGAATATTGAAATTAAAGTGGAATTTAAAGTATGTCCCTGAAAGGTGAACACAATGCAAAAGACACATTTATGCACAAAATATAAAATATTTTCAGAGATGTTCTTAACATTTAATGTGGCATTTCGACACATTACAGCACAACATTTTAAAACACTATAAATGCCTGTATAATATAATATACAATATGAGTGGTGTCAATAAACGATCTCTATGTTTGTGTGGTCTCTACACGTCTGAATAATTCACCGTCAGCTGGTGGTCTGAGAGAGACCGGCACTATTAGTGACCGGTGGTCATTTAGAACTCTGGAGTGCAAGGTGAAACGTCACTTCACGATTACAAATTCAATATGAAGCTGGTGGTGAACTGGTTAAAAGTAGTGCTGTCAAATGATTAAAATTTTTAATCAGATTAATCACAGGGTTCCTGTGGATTAATTTTGATTAATCATGATTAAATATCATTAATTTTTTATCTATATTAATCACATTTAATTTTGCATGAGCAAACAGACTCAAGAAAAAAGGGAATATATATGCACTTAACATGTTTATTGAACATCTTGAACATGAGTCGGATGCATTCCATCTGCCACAGAAGTGCAATACCATGGACCCATATCAAAAAGCAAGATTTTTTGCTTAGCCGGACAACTTGTCAGATTTAAGGTACCTCAGTTTAAATGGTCTTTATCTTCGTTCGCTTACAATTAGCACGAACTACCGTAAATCCGACAAATAATCCAACTAATCATGAAGTCCAATTCTGTCCCAGTTAATTGCCATTGTTAGCAATATCAGTTGATAACACATTACGTGCGGTGCTTTACATATAAAACTCCGTAGCAACACATCCACAGATAAGTTGGACGGTATAGCGTGTGCGACCGATTTAATGAGCCACAAATGAGAAGTAGTGCTTAAACAGTATAAGACTACAACTTTCCCTTCTGTTGATAAAGGGCGCGGCCATCTTGGATTCTGAACTCGGGATCCTCTGTGCTGCTCCGAGATATTTCTCGGATGTCCGACAAACGGGAGCGCATATAGTCACTTCCGGCTTCAAAACTCCGGAATCCGACTCGGAATACAAGTTCCGAGGGGAAATGGAACGCACTAAAACTACCCGAAATGGGTTGACAGAGACATTTCAGTGATTTTGAATCATTCTGCGCTGCAGATGGGTTAATTGCATTAAAATTTTTTATCAGATTAATCATGATGATGGATTAATCCGCGTTAACCCGTTAATTTTAACAGCCCTAGTTAAAAGACAACACTTTCAGGGTTCACCATCCAGCGGGGAAACAGCTGACTTTCATCTGGGCGAGCTGCCAACATTGTGCTTATATAAACTGAGAAAGGTCTCGCAGTCATACCCTTAAGCGAAATGCCAACACGGAATTATTACAGTGATGGCTTTAATGAGTCACTTTGGATTAAAAGTTTCCAGCAGAAAGACAAAACTCATCAATCTTCATTTGTAATTCCTCATTGAATGGGACATAATAGTATTTGAGTGACTGTCTTAACTCTTCCCTGTAATAAATACAGCAGGTAAACAGACTTTCACTTTTCACTTGTTAAGTAACTAGTGTTGCCAGGTGCTGAAAGACTGATGTGAAGCAGGAGAGTCATGTTTCAATGGCTGCCAAGTGTCTGTCAAGTAAAGCATCACAGGCTGAAACGGCATGTGTTCATACTCTGCAATTCCTCATATTGTGAGTTGCTTATGTACTTTTCACGTATTAAAAACAACACCTGGAGTTCTGTTGTTCTGTTTTCACAGTTTCTTTATGAGCTGTTCAAACAGGACCAGGAATCTTTCTCTCCTGTTCCCAGAATCCATGTCCAGACCTGTCGGAGCTGTGCTGCTTTGCTCCTCCACCGAGCCACTCTTCAGTGCTGCTAAGTCCCGCTGTAGCTCAGCCCTGTCCCTCTCCAGCGCACCCCTGTCCCTTTCCAGGGCAGCCCGGTCCCTGTCCAATGCCGATCGTGCTTTCTCCAGCTGTGCTCTTTGCCGTTCTATTACAGCACTCTCTCTCTCCAGTGCCGCCTTCTCCCTCTCCAGTGCTGCACGCTCCCGATCCAGGATGGCTTGTTCTCTGTCAAGCCCCACCCTCTCCCTCTCTAACCCCGCCCTCTCTGCCTCTAACCCCGCCCTCTCTATTCCCACCCTCTCTCTTTCAAGGGCCAGCTTCTCACTGTCCATCTCTATTAATCTGTTTTCCATGACCAGTCCATCCTTCTCATCTGTCACTATCGCCTCCTGTGCTGCATCCGCCAAGAACTCCAGAATTTCGCTCTTTTCCTCCACCTTCCGTATCTTCCTGATTGGCATGGCAAACATGTCTTCATCGTCAGTGCTGCACGAAATGGCCGCCAGGACTGGGGCACTCCCGGCAAGCCTGCCCTCCATAGCTTCATTCATGAGGTGAAACCACTGCCAAGGTGAGGAGGTGACCTCTGCAGTCTGTATACCGTGGCCCACTGGGGGGTACTTTAGGTCCTGGGCACAAAGCAGCAAACGTTGCGCTCTTACACAAACAATACCAGATGATCGAACGCGCGCTTGCACACATTTACACCACCGAAATACCGAGAGCGCGCTTGCAGACAAACAATACCGGATGACAGAGCGCGCGCTCGCACACAAACAATACTAGATGACCGAGCGCGCGCTCGCGCACAAACAGCACCAGATGGTCGGGCGCTCGCTCGCTCACAAACAGCTCGAGACCTGCAGCACATGAATGCATCACCTTGTATTTCTTCTTCAGGTTCTCCCACTTTTTCGCCGCCTGGTCAGCCCTCATCTTTCCCTGCAGGCCCAGTTCCTTTAGTATTGCTCTAGAACAGGAGCATCATACAAATAAGATATCATCGCCATCAAGCACGTTAACAATAAAGATATTTTATAGATGCGTAATGGTACTGCGGTGGTTCTGGAAAACTGTATTTATTATACTCTAGTGATTCTTTTTTTTTTATAACTTACGACTACAAAAAAAATATGCAGTTTTGACTTTTGTTCGTTTTAAACTTTGTTTTACAACGATGGCGAAAACAATATCTGATCACTGAGTATTTCTTGTACCTCCAGCCAAACTTGGCAGCATTTCTCTTGCCGGTGAAAAGAGCGTCATTTGCTGCGCGCAGTTTGATTAACTTCGCAGTGTCCTCGTCTGTCACTGTTAGAAAACCAATCATTTAAATTAGAAATCGTATTCCAGCTCTCTACAAGCAACAAGCACAATACTTATATTAAAATAAAGGCGAACATAACCAAACCTCTCCGCTAATATATAATTTTATTATATATATAGTTATATAATCATATGGTGCATTTTTCTGCGCTTTCACGCGGATGCCCCACGGCTGGCCCACGCCCATCCCCGAAGTGCACACTCTGCCACCGAAGTGCACTAGGTGAAGATTCTGGATTCTTACATCCAAGCAGTCTCCAGTCTTTAGGGAAGTTTAAGGAAGATCCCTAGCAAATGGCGACGCGTTAAAAATGGCTGTTAACTGCTTGTTTTGTGTGTAATATAGCTTTCTTTTGTCATGCAGATTTACTGTTTGTATGGTCATTTTTTTTTTTCGACGGATAAAGGGGAAACGCGAGGGCTGCTCGAAATCTTTCACTCTCAAGAACGTCTGTTCTGGGTAGTTAGTTACAGAGAAAATTAATGCAACAGGGAGACGGTGTTGGACACCGTATCACAAGACGTTTCATGCTGGCATCTGAGCTGAGAAATGCGAATTGGGGTGAAAACATAAGCGGAAAAAAGCAGCTCAAGTAAATATGAATGTGCAAGACTAAATTATTTAAACATACTTAATATTACTTATACATTTACTTATTTTTTATTATTTAAAATTGAAATCCAATGTTCAGTCTTTGCAGATATCGTTAGTATCAACATGGGTTACTTTTTAAAATATTTTTTAAAATGTGCTTACATTTATATATAAAGTTGCCCTCTTGCGCCATCTTGTTTAAATCAGGTGCGATCAGTTGACAGCAGACGTCTCCTTGCGGGTATTTTATAGTGCACTATACAGGGAATGAGACTTGCCGTTGGGGATCCGAACAGCACTATATAGTGCACTATTTCGGTCATAGGGAGCGTTCCGATCTGAGCCAAAATGAACAAGAAGACGGAAGCAGAGTGGAGGTAGGGTGAGAGTGTGAAAAGCACTTCCGGGTTAGGCGGTGGGTCGTTGAACGATCCATAATCTGATTGGTGGTTGTCGCTGGCAGTTTGCAGAGTTTCCGGTACCCGCCCTTTTTCCACAACTGAATACGTTCGTTCCGCGTCTGGACACCGCATTTTCCCAGCTTGCCGCGTGGAGTGGTTATCGTATCCATCGGTAATCTGTTTTGGAATTTTTGGTTTAAAGTCTCGTTTTTAAAGTTTTGTCTCCGCTTTAGATGGTCGGATTTTTCACTAGTGCTTATTTTCTAGGTGAAATGTGTATGGACATCATGGAAGCTCGTAAGATTTTCGTAAGCATTGATGATCGCCCATGTCGGAGGTCAGTGAAGTTTGCCAAGCGGGGCCCCGGGAGGCGCCGTCCGGCTCCCCCCGTAGCATGGGTTCGCCGGAGGGTCCATATCATGAGGGCTGAGCCTCGGAGATGCAGAGTTTTCGGCCGGAAGCGGAGATCTGTCGACACTTCTAGAAGCTTCGGCACGGACGCGGAAGGCGGGTGGCCCAGTGAGGAGCTAACCCCCGGCTTTATGGCTCCCCGGAACACGACGCAGTACCTAATGCGCATCGCCTACCAGGACCTCCTGCGCGACCTTGAGGAGACGGGCAACGATCCGCTGCCTTCGTGGGGCCTGCACGCCTCCCCTGACCGCGGGTACGAGAGTACCCTGGACTTCCAGGAGAGGGACTTCGACGTCATGCTCGCGGCCTACGCAGACTCGCCTTGAGACGTTTCAAAGACCGAAAACGAGTTGACTTTGTACAAAGGTGTGCGAATGCTGTTATAATGCCCAGAGATGTCGGTTCCATATGATGGCACTTGATTTTTATGTGAGAAATTTATGTAGTCTCGTTCAGAACTTGAATAGCTTTTGTCCATGCTTTGTACGGTGTAATCAAATCGACCGTATACCACTGTCACTTGCTTTTCAGAAGAGACATCCGCCACCATTTGTAAAAGAATTGAGTTTCGGGATTCACAGTTGGGTTTTCCCTGTCCCACAGCAACGCACCTGGCGCTGCCTGCAGAGGGCGCTCTTCGCTCATCCGCCTGCAGGCTTCGCTGCCAGCCGGCCGACTGAGTCCGACTCTGCTCTGCCACCCAGTGGCCTGCAGGTAAAGCTGTCAGATCCAGCCTAGGCGTTCTGGCATGTGGTGACGGAGACCAGTGGTGTGCTGGCCGTTTCAGGTGTGGAAATTGTTCTGGGTGGGGGGTAGCAGAACATTCTCTTTAGCCTGTCTGCTCTGTATAAATCAATGTGTAGTGTCCCTTCAGGTTGAGTTCATTTCAGACTTGGACCGTTCATACTGGACAATCTGAATGACCCCCTGGTGTCCGATTGCACCCTGGCTGCTCTCCTTTCTGTCCTGAAGAGGGTACAGTTCGGCATCCAGCCTTTCCAGCCACCCATGTGGGTCACTCCTTGGAAAATGGATCGGTAACCATCTTCAACAGTGCACAGTTGTAATGTTGTCATGTCGGCCTCTTGCAGGTGACTGTTCCCCTGACAGTGCTGCCGGGGGGACTGGGAGGACTGTTCTCAGTGCGGTTAGTGCTGGGTGTTACTGTGTGAGTCGGCATGTACGTGCTGTGTGCAGCGTGCCGAATCCCTACCCTGCTCTGTAATTTCCGCATTGGGCCATCGCTGTGATTGTAATGACATGTCCAGGGAAGACAAATCCCTATAATAGCCAAATGGATTAGCCTGTTATAAGCGTCTCATGCTCTTTTGTGTTTCGGGGGGGTGATTTGCCTATGTGTCATTGAACCCCTGTCCGTCCCCCCCCTTAGTTGCAGGTCTCCGTCTGGACTTAATGATTTTGGCTTTGGACAAGTCCAGGCTTGCCAAGTGTTTGCAATATCTGTGGTGATGAGCCACTTTTGGGGGAAAAAAATAAACATTTTGAAAAGCCAATTGTCTTTTTCCTTTTTCTTTTGCATGGTTAAGCTGTGTGCTTCTGGCCTGAATTGGGGTGGGTTCAACTGAATTTTTCTCGAGGCCTCCCTTATGTGCACATGGGTTTTATATGGTTTGTGTAAGTTGGGTTCAGGTCAGGACTTCCTGGGCTGGGAGGCATTTTGGTAGCTGCTGCTTTCACTGGTTCATTTTCAGTTGCTTCTGGCTTTTTATTTTTGTTTTAAGTGTAGGGGTTTTACCTACATACCTCATTTCACTAACTTCTGGTAATGAAATGAATCAACAATCCTGACAATATGAATGAAAAGACTTGTGGCTCCATTACCCTTTACTGTCCATTAGGGGGTGCTGCAACAAAAGGTATGCAGTAATCTTTCCACAGGTCTGTATGAGGTGGCAGTTGGTGATAGTCATGTTCAGCTTTATAATGATCTCTGCAAGATTTGTATTTCAGGTATCTTTTTTTTTTCTCTTTGGTTTCTTACCTGTGATGAGTGCTTAGTACTGCCAAGTGTGGAGGAGTTCAGGCTTTTATAATGAATTCTTGAAAAGGTTATTGGTTTACTGGTCAATTTCTGGTTAGTATACTGATGTGAAGGTATTGATATCTGGTTATACACTGATCAGCCAAACAAGGGCAGTATACCACACATCCCTGTCAGGAGTCTGTAGGAGTGATGTGAGGTGAGAACTTGACATTTGAAAGCATGTTCTGTTGCAGAGTTCTCGCATTTCACACACAGGGCCTAGTGTTGCCGGATGTGTTCTGGATTGGAGACCAGTCAGCTTTAAAAGTGAGGAAATTAAATTTTAAAGCATCAGGACAAACAGCTGGCGTCTGTTGTCAGTCAGGCATGTTGGAGGAACAGTGCAGAGAACTCAACAAAGCAGTTCTGTAATAAATGCCAGCACAGGTCTTGTGTACTAGCACAAATTTTACTTAATAAAGAAAAGCGTACTGTCTCGATGAGTGGTGAGTCTACGCCATATTAATCTAAGGTCAGCTTGACCATTTAAGCAGCCCCATTTCTGACCCTCATTGAGAATAAAGCAACCCAGTTCTAACTTCCCTCAGGGCTCGACCTGATAACAGCGATTCCCTGCTTAATTAGGGTCGTTAAGCTTCCGGCTAGTGTGACCTCCGCAGGTGGACAGTCGCCGTGGGTGATGTGGCCGTCTCTCCTGTCTTCTTGTTGTCTGGCAGCATCCTGTCATCCGTATCACGGAAATGCCATGGACTGCGTTTTTCTAAAATGAGTCCTTTGAGACGTGCTTTTTGGTTCGTTGGCATGTGTGTGTGTTCGTGCCCTACGATGGACTGGTATCCTGTCCAAGGTCTTCCCCAGCCCTGTGCCCCAGGATTGGCTCAAAATCCTCTCTATGCAAACTGGGCCTCTGTGTTGTGGGACATTAGTGTGGAATATTCTTGGGGTCAATGTGCTTGACCGTATCTGACTCCGGTATCTCAGTCCAGCTGCTGTTAAGTCTTAATGAAGACCAATCCCTTTGCCATTTGGTTCAGCTACATAAAAATGAGTTGTTTTAATTGCATTATAGCGATGAAGCTGTTTGGTGTCGTGTGAGTGCGGATGCACAGGTGAGGAGACGTTGATGTAATTCTCCCCCGTGTGTCTGCACTTGGTGATCTCACACGGCTCCCCCTCACTTCCCAGCAATAAAAGGCACCTCATCCGCTAGGTGTTCTGTTTCACTCGAGCCCATTGAGACCACGGCAGCTGAGAATCCAGCAGGGCGCCTTACAGAGTGATGTCATTTTACAGAATAGCCCCCTAGCCAACCATTCCGCAGCTGGTTGGCATAGCGACATGGTCTGTTTATGCCACGCAGGCTTCTGGACCTTTCTCCTTTCCTGAGTGACCGGTGCAGTGCTACACGCCATATTGAGTCACTCGCTCTACAAAATGCGTCAAGGACACTGGAGTAGCCAGGCGGAGACTCCTGGGACGGCAACAGACAACGTTGATGCTGCATTATACTGTTATTACCTTACCTGTAGCACTTCTTACCTATATATTATTATTTCAAATTATATGAATGAGGTGGAGGTGACCCCCCCCCCCAAGATCCAGGGTTATGTGTTTCATCATCAAAGGAAATGGTTGACTTGATTCCACTAAGTGCAGCAGATGATCTGAGATGTTTCTGTCCTTTGCGCCATCGGCCGGGGGTCTCGCGCGTCATCCAGGGTTGACAGAGCAACGGTGGCTCCCTGCTCCTGCAGGTCTTGCCCTGTCCCTGTGGCTGCAGGCGCGAGGTTAGAAAGGCCTTTCTCCCCAGCGTGAGGCCTGCTCATATCTTCTCCTTTTTTGCATCAGTCACTCCATATTTATCGAGATGACCTTTAACTTTTGCCTCCGTGTCTTTATGAGTCCTCCCTTGATACTGTACTGTGAACTGGGCTCTGATCCAGCTGTAATCTAAGGCTCTTTTCTTCATTCCAAATTGAATCAGGATGACAGAACCAATCCCTCCACCACATATTTGGTCATACATCCATCTTCTGACCCTTTATCTTCATTTATTTGTGGCACCAGAAGGACTCTATGCTGAGGACGGACACTTCAGTGGAAACAGTGCAGTAAGTAATATCTTTTTATTGTGAAGGAATCTGACCTCTGGAGTTATGTCCAAAGTGGCCCCTGGAAAAATATTAAAAAAAAAACATTCTTAGAATAGATATGTGAGTCTCCACAGCTGAGCTGGGCCGGTCACACCCATGTGTGTTGAATTTTTGTCCTGCCCATGTAGTTTGCCCCAAGTTTTTTGTGCCATGACTAAATGAATAACGCGGGCTGTCTCCATGGCGACTGGTGGGTACGGCGTCAACTTCCCTGCACCCTATTATGATGTCATTGTTTTTCCAAAGGATTCCAAGAGATGATAGGATATAATGGAAGTGGGGGGGCAGGTGGGACTAGCGGGCGGGCGGCTGGCTCTTTTGTGTGCGTGCCTGTGCTATCAAGACAGGGGCCTGCTTAATTATTTACGATGAGCGAGTAATATAGATGTTTCAGTTAACCTGAGCCCGATATGAGAAGGCATTTTCCGAGGAACCTAATTAAATGGCTTGTCGGTG